CAGGCCCCCCACCCCAGCCCCGAGCCACAGAGCGGCCTGACCAGTATGGCCCCAATATCTGCGACGGAGACTTCGACACAGTGGCCATGCTTCGTGGGGAGATGTTTGTGTTCAAGGTCTGCCCCTACCTCCTGCTGTCCCTTGTCACCCCAGCCCCCTGGCCCAGGCTCGGCGCAGCAGAGCTTCTAACCAGCTTTCCCAGCTTGCCAAGCCTCGCCCTGCCTGGCTGCTCTGGCACCTCCACCCCCCGCCCGTGTGCAGCCCCTGGGGAGACATTGGACCCTAGACCTAGACCAGGAAGAGACAGCCTGAGAGGATGAGGGATGTGCCCAGGGCCACGCAGCCAGCCCAGGTGCCCACTCCTTTCCCTGGAGTGCCCTGACTTTCCAAGTACCGTCCCCACCCTCGGTATCTCAGCGACCTCCCCAGACACTTCTAGCCAAGGCAGCATGCATGTGCTGCCCACTCACGCCACGCCCCTCCCCAGGGCCGCTGGTTCTGGCGAGTCCGGCACAACCGCGTCCTGGACAACTACCCCATGCCCATCGGCCACTTCTGGCGTGGTCTTCCCAGTGACATCAGTGCTGCCTACGAGCGCCAGGATGGTCGCTTTGTCTTTTTCAAAGGTGAGCTGGCGCGGTTGGACGGTGGTGCGGTGGGAAGGGTGCAGGGCTGACCACGTGGAAAAGCTCCAGGATCGTGTCAGGAGACCTGCCCTGAGCCCACCTGGCATGTGTATGCCCGTGAGCGGGGACTGACTTGGGTTAAGATGGATCACAACATCGGGACCTGTGGGGGATGCTGTCTCTCTCTTTCTCTGTCTCTCACTCGTGGTAGGGAGCGTAGGCCAGGCAGCCTTCCTCCCTGACCTCTGACCTGTCCTCTGACCTGGGAGGAACCAAGGGCAGAGGAGAGTGAAGGGCTGAATTGCACATTTGGTCTGAGCCCCCTGTGGGCTCCTCCTGGGAGGATGGCAGTAAGCCAGGCCAATGAGAAGGCAGGCAGAGGTCCGGTGGCTGGGTGGCCTGGGGTGCCAGAGGTTGCCCTGACTAGGGGCGAGTACTGGGCCATTTTCTACAGCGTGAGGGCTCAGCCTCATGTCCCCCCATCATTACTGCTCGGTCTCCTGCAGCCTGGTCACCAGAACAGGTCCTCTGAGGCTACTCTGGGGCAGGACACTGTCGTCTGTGTGCAGAGACAAAGCCTTGAGGGGCAGTGCCCCCTAACGGACCAGCTGTGTCCCCAGCCCCACTGGCCTGAGCCTCAGGGAGATCAGGGCTCCCCACGGAGAGGGCAGGGCCCACTCTGAAAGCAGGGAGCCCCCTCATCTCTCTGCACAGGCACTGTGTGTGTTGAGGGGTATGGCTGTTGACTAGGGAACGTAGGCCCACACATAGTGCAGGGGTATGTACAGGTGTGAGCAGGCGACCCATGCCAATGGAAACAAGCGCACTGCAAGAGTCAGTGAGCACCGAGTGTGGTGCACGGATGAGCTGTGGTGTACGTTATGAGTGGCTTTGTGTGAAGCAGTGACTGCTGGGGTGGGGCAGCAGTGAATGGACTGGGGGGACCCCCTCCTCACACACATCCCTCAGCCTCAAGCCCCTCCTCTCGCTCCTCCTGCAGGT